GTTAGCACTCCTGGAATGATGCTGGATGGCCAAGTGGAATATAGGATGGCAGCATCTTCCCTTCTGCCACAATACAGGCATGATTTGCAGTCTCTACTTTCTGCTCAGTCTTCTTCAGAAAAGATACAGAACTTCAGATCAGCAAGTCCTCTGAAAAATGACTTGGTCTGGCCATAGGCCTAAGGGTTATATGAAAGGATGGATGAGCAGTCATGTTTCCATAGGAAAAGATGCTACCAATTAAGCCTCTCCTGCATCTGGCTTCAGGCTTAACCTAAGATTCCATCTGCCTTTTCCAAGAGTATTTATACAGACAGGACAATGCTCTTTATTTAAGTCCCCACAAATTCTTAGGTGAGCACAACTGACACTGTTGGTAAACCTTGCTGGTTCCTCAAACTTACTATTCTTGTTTGCATGCCATTTAGTTTAAGGCATCTTCTAATCAGAAAAGCAGAATCTGTACATACAAACACAGAAAAATCAGTTAAATGTCAAAAATATCCAAAAATGGGTATTTCTTTGCTTGTGAAAGTTTCAGCACTCATCACTCCTGGTGATGAAACCCAGGCTGTGTTGGAAAGTCAGGCAAAAAGTGGATGGGAAACCATCTGTGTTTTATTTTCCCACACACAAACAAACAAATTTATGTTAATAAAGCCAGAACACAAAAGAAAAGGGTAACATATCATCCAGCAAAAGCTGTTCTGAGCAGTACTGTCCTGTTATGTGATGCCCACCAGCAGAAGGATTCACCAAACACAGCTGTCTGGCATTGGTTGCAATGTACTGTACATCCAGAATGAAAATATTGATTTCCCTGCATGCCCTTTATTAAATGATGTTTGGTTCGTAAAGGAAACTTTCTAAATATGGAAATAACTCCTGTGGCTGCTCTGTCCCCTCTGTGTCAGGAAGGACAGGACAAACTGGCAGACTGGGAAGCACAACAAACACACCAAAGGGTGAGGGATGAAACAACAGGCATTGCAAACACACTCCTTTGCTACCAGCCATTGAGGACTACCTGCAAACTGCCATTTAACAGACCTACAACTACATATTTACTCTACTGGTAAAATTCTGCCAAGGCTTAATCAACCAACCAAGCAGCAGCACCTTTTTACTCAAAGTTTGCCAGCTCTTCATAACTCTTCCTTAACCTTAAAGCTCTACTGATGCTTTCTCCTGTTTTTCCAGAAACCTATGAAGAAAAATGTCATTTATTCTCTTTCAAAACAGAATTATCCCATGTTGTTTGTCCACGTGAGACATGAAATAGAAGTTTGTTTAGAATACAAACCATCTCTTCTCCTGTTCCTGTGTATATCCACTTCTTCCTCGCTCTCAGCACAAGAGCACTGTTTCACAAACTCCAAGGAAGATGAGTTGTAGTATCAACATAATAGCAAACAGAGAACTGAAGACCTCTAAGTGAAATAAGCAACACAAATAAAAGAGCACCAACAACCTCATCCATCAGCCTTCTTGGGATGCTTCACATAAGCATCTCTGCCTATGTGGGGACATCATTTCTTCTTCACAGAGACAAAATCATTCCCTCCACGACCATCAATGCCACCACAAGAAGAGATCAGAAATGCATTTTTAAGAACAGCTGCTCCACGCCAGCTAACAGAGCTGTCAATTTGTCACTCTGCAGCAATGTGAATAGCAGAAGTGCAGAGCATTCCTTTGGCAGCACGTCCCAACCTGCAGCTGAAATTCACCTTCTGCCTCTGTGCCTTCCAACAGCCTTCCACAACAGCTGCAAATTGCCTCCTCCTTGCCACCTTTTCTCTTGTCCTCTCTTTGCCTTTTCCCTATTCACTCTATTGACACACAATACAGTCCACCTTATTTTGGAACAAATCAAGGGTTAACTTATGTTTAAATAAGACCCATTACTTTGCATCATTGAGAAAGAGATTTGTTAAGGCAGCAGCTAAAAAAGCATTTACAGATGGACTCCCTTTCCTAGGAAGGAACACCAGGTTTCCTCTACTCACACAACTCTGTGCAATAACTAAAGCCATGAAAGCCATGCTGGTGGATAGCAAATGGGGAAACACTCTCTGCAAGTGAAACTGTGGACCGAGATAAGAGTGGATGCCCCATCCCTGCAGGCATTCAAGGCCAGGCTGGATGTGACTCTGGGCAGCCTGGTCTGCTGGTTGGCGAGCTGCACATAGCAGGGGTTGGAACTACACGATCATTGTGGTCCTTTTCAACCCAGGCCATTCTATGAGAGACATCAGCACAGTACTGTGACTGACAGTGACCTTCCACGCATCCCTGTGTGCCAGAAGGTTAGCAAGAGCCAGTAGGAGTTACCCCCACACAGAGCCACACAAACAGATATATTTAGTCACTGCGGTTCAAGGAAAACCATTGCTTGCACTGAAAATAAATTTAGCAATTGTTTCCAGTTTCTGCTCTTTCATTGACTAAGGCACAACCCAGCTGCTGTGCATTCCAGCAGACTTCAGCTGTCCTTCTTCCCCACTCCTTGCCCACTTCCTTCTTACAACTGCCATGAATATCTCAGCCTCGCACCGCTCCTCCTGCATTTCTGCACACATCAGTGCTGATGCTGTGCAGCACAACACCTGTCAAACCTACACTGACTTACCCAAAAGTGCAAAATTCCATTCTCTGTACCATTTCCTAAGAAGCACTAAATAGCAATCACCTTATATTTCACATCTACATTGAATTAGATGGAACCGTTGATGCTTACGAAACAAGCTGCAATAAAACACAGTGGGATGCTGCTATCTGAGCAGCCTGCAGCAGGAATTGCAGCAAGAGGAAGGAAGGATTGGAACCACACTGCATTCAGGATTGTGCACTGACTCCTCAGAAGTGTCTCATTCTCAGACTCCAGGATAAAACACTCCATAGGGTGTTCTTACTTGGTTTGAAAACCATCACTAAAGAAACCACTTCTGTTGGTCAGCTGCTAAAGTTCTAAATTGAAAGCCTTCACTTAGACTCAAAAATACAGCGCAGCAGAGAGGGCACAACCAAACCAAGTCAGAACTGTGCCCATTAACTCACCTGAACCTCAATGTAAAAACAGACATTGCAGAGAATTGCATGGGTGTAAAAAAGCCCCACATATACAGGATTGTTTCTGGCCTAAGACTGACCCAAGAGATGGCTGCAGTCCAAAAAATACCCTTTGCAGAAATAAGATCCCAGTAAACTACACGTCAAGCATGATTCTGAACAGAGTAAAACAGCATGCAAGGCTGCACACGAACAGTAAAGGTCCCCTAAAGATGGGAATGACCTGTCCCTGGGATTGTACTACTTTCCTTCACTTTCCTTAAGAAGCAGATTCCTCCCTTGATGTTTATATTACAAACACTGGATGACACTTCAGAGATGAATTTGCTTATCAAGCAAACACGTATCAGAAAAAGGTGAAGACAGCATTTTGGTCTGCTGGGAATACCTGCAGTTGGGTCCTGAGCTGAACAGAGATAACTGACTGCACTCCAGGCAGCTGAATGCTTGGAACTGTGGTCTCAAACAGCCCTTAGCAGATGGCTACTGAAAAGGCAAGCTTACAAGGGCTGTAAAAAGCCAGCAAGAAGTCACAAGATTATGATGGAAAGCATCAAGTAGAATAAATGTTCAAGATACAGCATCCGTATGTTCTTCGGTTTTAATAAAGGGCATTAATGAACAGATACTCTCTGTGTAAAAGCCTGTATTTCAGACCTGACGGTGTCTCACTGCTCTCTCATTCCCTCTGTACGACGCAGAATTGTTCAACTCCCTGAAGCGTGTAATCCATCAGGTAAATAAATACAGGAATTCACGTATTGCCATGGTAACAGGAAAACCAAGCAGAATCTGTGGCCTCCTCTGCTTTCTTGGCAGCCCTGCTTTGGAAGGAACAAGTATCTTCTGTAAGTGAAGACCAAAATTACAGACGCATCAGTTCTAGAGCAAAGAACAACCAAGGCCGGATGCTGTTCTTCCTCCTTGGGTCAAAGGGGTTCTGTTTTCAGAAAGTATTTGGAAGTCTGGCTGGAGCTTGAAAAACGGGGACTCTAGAACTGCTAAAACTGAAACATACCGCCTTGTTCTGCACTACCAGATGGATCCCCTTCACTCCAAAGCAGTGCTATGAATCACTGCACAGTGGCCCTTCTGTTGAGCACAGAGCAGAACTGAGAGGCTCCTGAGGGAGCCCCGTCCTCTCCTCCCTGGTGGACAGGAGCTATTATGTATCATCATTTATTTTTGTATTTTATTAAGTGTTGACAACGTGCTTCATTTAAAAACCCAGGGAGGCACATAAGATCTCTAGGGATCTAACTCTAATAATATTGTTGTAGCCCCACAGCCTGACTAGATGAGTGCTTTCTCATTCCGTATGAATATGCAGATAGTCAAACCAAAGCCCCAGACCATTCTGAAGCTATTCAAGAAGACACATTATCAGGCAACAGCCTATTTTATTTACAACACAGTGGGTCCTGCTTGTCTTTCCTTTCCCATAAGAAAAAAAACCACACACAAACAAACACAAACAAGCAGATCTCAGATCTCACAGCATTTGTTCCATGACTCCGCATCCTTTGTTCTGCCACTGTATACATTTGGACAAATATTATGCCAGAATTACTGCAGTATTACAGGCTGTGTTTATACACTGACCCTATTCACCAAACTCTTTGTATCAATCATAAGTTCCAACACTCAAACTGTGACCAAGAGCACTCCGTACCAAAGCAGCTGCCTTCCAGCCCTCCTTCCCTCCCTTCCCCATCTCTTCTCCTCCAGTTTATACATAGACTACGTTTTTTTTTCCTTTCTTAATAACACCCTCCTTAAAAAAATGCAAACACAAGCAGTTGAAAGAGCACAGTTCCCCAAATTTACACTTTCTCTTATTCAGCAAATCACCACCACGCTCCACACCCACTACAGCACGCCTCCGCATTAAGACTTCACCCACGGCATCTTCCAAACTGTACACTGACCTGGGCACGGATCCTGCATGATGTCTTGAGTTCTTCACTGGGAGTTCAGTGTGTTGCAAGGCCGGGTCTCTACGCTGCGCAGCGTTTGGGTTTTGTGTGGTATTTTTGGCCTTTCTGTTCTATTGTACACGGAACCGCACCGCGTTTGTGTGTGTCTACAGAGTCATCTTCCAGCGTTTGAACTCTTCACGCTGCTTCGCTGGGGTGGAGCTCTATTTACTATTCTCACAGGGTTATTTACTGCACGCGAATAAACAAAACGTGATCACTTATTTTTCACATCTGCAATTACTGGCTATAGAACTGTACGTCAGCGTTTACTAAAGCCCCAAGCCAAGTTCAATTCTAATGGAAAGAAGTGGCCACTGGTTCAGAGCTGGCCCCAGCTCTATGGGTGCTGCTCACCCCTTCCTTGCATTGTTAACCCGCTTCCAGGAGGAAAAGTGGCAGTGATGCACCAATAAGCACGGAAAAGAAAGAGCCAGAACCCCCCAAGCAAAGCGTTACACTGCGATGCTATGTAAGGGATGGTGCATCAGATTAACCTCTGATATTTCTGGAACAGCATCTGTCCCATGATGCGAGGCACACTTGTCAGACAGTGACTGAGTGCTGAGAGCTGGAAGCACGCCTGTGTGCAGCACTGCCTGGAGGTGCTCCTCCCTGGAGGCTGCTCCAGAACCGTAGCACAGGGGAATGCCTTCTTGTACAGTGCAGCACAGAACAAACCAGGATCGAGTGATCAAAGCCATGGAGGGCTGCTGCGGGCCCTGCTCCTCTGAAGCAGGGATCTTCCTAAAGCACTGCCTTGGGAAGCCCCAGTGCTGCACTTCACACATCTGACTCACACTGCTGCAAGGCCCCGCTAGGAAAGCATCGAGCTGCTCATCTTACAATAAGAAACCACCAAAAAGCACTGCTTTTTCTCTGCTAATTAAATGCGACGTAATTAAACCAAATAACTTCAGCGCTTGATTTGCAAAGGCGTTCGTTGAGGCTTTCACTGTACTGCAATGGGAGGAACGGGGGCACCTCCAGTGACAGCTGAGAACCACTGCACTGTGCTGGGTGCTTCCAAAGCAGCACCCCGGCTCATGGAGAGCCCCAAAAGGGGCAGCTGCAGCCCAGCCGTTCCCTGTGCTGTCTGCCCACATATCAGTCTGTTCTGATCGTGCACAAACACCGGGGAAGTTGGAGAAGTTGCCATTAATCGCTGCGTGCAGGGCCCGAAGCGCTGCAGCTCTGCTGCGATGCTCTGCTGGACTGAAAGGCCGGTGCGAAAAGGGGGGGAGGGAGGCGGGGGGAGACGGAAACAAAACAACGGCAAATAAATGGAGCAAGGAAAGGAAGAAAAACGAAATAAAAAGGAGAAACGGACCAGAAGACACGAAGCCTGAGGAAATAAAAGAAAAAGGAAAAAGGAGAAAAAAAGAGAAATCCACCAGGAAAATCCAGCAGGAAACCAGCGAGGGAGCGCAGCACAGCAGCGGGGCTCGGCACGGCTCGGCTCGGCTCGGCACGGCTCGGCTCGGCACGGCTCGGCTCGGCACGGCTCGGCTCGGCACGGCACGGCTCGGCAGCCCTCCCCGCCGCCCGGCCTGACAGCAGCCCCAACCGGCCCAGAAGCCGCCCGGCCCGCCGCCTCCCCCCGCCCCAGGGCCGCGCCGGGCCCGAGCCGAGCAGCAGCGGCAGCAGCTCCGGGCCGCATCGCGCAGGGCGGGGAGGAGAAGCGCCGCCGCCCCGCCGGGCCTCCCGCCGCTCACCTGCTTTCTCGATCTTGCCGGACATGTCGGAGCCGGGGCTCGGCGCTCAGGCCCGGCCGCGCCAGGAGCCAGCGAGCGGCCGCGGCCCCGCCACCGCCGCCTCCTCCCGCTGCCGCCGGCCGGCCGCGATCCGGGAAAGGCGCCGCGGCGGCCCCTGGGGCTCGGCACGCAGGCAGGCAGGCAGGCAGCGCTCCCGCCCCCCGCCCAGCTCCGCCGGGCCGCGAGGGGAAGAGGCGGCCCGGGGGCTCCCGCCACACACGCACACGCGCGCCGGGCCGCAGCGCCGCCTGCCGGCCGCCTCAAGAAGCGCAGCCACGGGCGGGGCCGGCCGTGAGGGGGGCGGCGCGCGCCGCGGGGATGGCCGCTCGGCTCCGCCCCGGCGGCGGATCGCAGCGCGCGTTTTCCCAGCCCGCACGACCACGGCGGCGTCCTCTCAGACCCCCGGCCCCGCCCCGCCCCGCACGACGACGAGTCCCTCGGCGCCGCGTCCCCGCTGCTCTGGAACGCCCCGCTCCTGCGGGCAGCGCCCCGCTGTCGTTTGCTCGCCGTCCGGCCGGACAGAAGCTGGTTCCCTCTAGCGGGAAGCGGCTGTAGAAGAGCCGTGGATCTTCTCACAGGAATACGAGCACTTTTCTGTCGCTGTATCGACAGCAGCGCCCCGACTTCTCTCGTTCAGCCCGCTTTGAGCTGCAGGTCGTGCCGCTGTGAGCAGGGAGCGAGCAGGGAAGGAAGAAACCTGAGCGCTGTGAGGGCTGGGCAAGGGGAGAAGGAGAGCACAGAGCCGCGGTGCCGGTGTTGCAGGGCTGCTTTGCGCCCAGATGAATCACAGAACGGCCAGGGTTGGAAGGGACCTCAAGGATGGTGAATCTCCAACCTCCTGCCACGTGCGGGGCCACAAACCTGCCTGTTTAATACTACACAAAGCACTCGACGTCGCTCCCACTCGCTGAACTGGCATTCGTTTCTTGGTACAGCACTATTGTATTAAATATCCCAAGGCTGGAAGCTCAGCTACCGAACTGATAACTACAAGACAATGTTGGAAAAACTGGAAAAATTGGAAAATGACAACTCTTAAAACTTTAGCAGGTTAATGTCTTTGAGGTTCAGCGTGCTGATGTCCTCCCAGCAGCAGGAGAAGGGCAGCAAGCTGAGCTCCTGCCCCCGATATTTCTTTACTGGGGGAAAAACAGTCGGCAGCAAACGTGCCAACAGCAGCCGGGCGGCACTGAGACACGCTACAACCCCAGGGTCACGTCCTGCAGCTGAGCCACCGAGATGGGATGTTGTGCAAGAAGTGCCAACGCGATTTCCGAGCCGTGCCATCACAGCAGAGCGCTCCTGCCCTCTAGCGCCCTTCCCCTCTCCCCGGCTGCTCTCTCCCATCCACATCCCTTGTTCTGTTCCCTCCCATCCCCGTCCCTTGTTCTGCTCCCCTCCGCTTGCAGAGCCGGGCGGTGCCTGCAGCAGTGCCGAGGTTCGGTAATTCAGTGCCCCATTCAATAAGTGCTGCTGTCACCGTCCCCCCGTCGTCGTCTCCTCCCCCTGCCCAGAGCCGGGGGGATGTGGCACTGAGGGATGTGGCACTGAGGGATGTGGCACTGAGGGATGTGGCAGTGGGCACAGTGGGGTTGGGCACTGGATCTGAGAGGGCTTTTCCAACCTCCATGGTTCTGATTCTAAGCACAACCAAACCCAAGTGACAGACACACTGCCTGATATTGCCACTACCAACACAACCCCTCCCCTTGAACTGGGGAGAGATGAAAACGTTTTGGTGGAAACAAACGAATGACAAGATTCTCACCACCTGTTAATAGATGCAGCTCCTCCGAGGTGTGCAGTGGCAGGATAGATAGTGGTGAGATAGATGGAGAGGAACTGCTCAGGAAAGGAGTGCAGGTGGGGCTAATAAGGGATGCAGAGGAGTGGTGCAGGAGGGGGCCAGAGCTGCGAGCTGAAGCAGGTGAGGTCAGAGCATCTGCATCTGTTCCCTGCAAAAACACGTGTGTGAGATGGGCTGCATCAAACACCGTCCGAGCAACAAGTCCTCCATTTAGAGCACATCCCCAGTGTCAACCTCAGCATCCTGCAGTTTTACTCTGTGTGCTCAGACAGCACCTAGCTGGTGGTGCTGGGTGTAGGACGATCCAGCATACAGATATGAGCAAGACACGAGCACCTGCCTGGCAACCTCGCATCTGGGGCTGACGAAGATGGGATTTCCCCATTCAGCGATGCCTGTCCCGCTGCCACCCGCAGCCGTGCGGGCCCTGGGACTGCCCTGCAGCCCTGGCAGATGTCCCATTGCTGACCCGTCATTGCCGGGACTCGATTTTCCCACCGGTTTTTTTCCTTCTCCGCTCGGTTGCGGGCTCTAGAGGGCAGCAGATGCCGGCTGATGGGCACAGCGACCTCCGAGCCCTGGCTGGGAGCCCACCAACGGGGAAGGGGGGCCGGGTCCGGTCCTGTGTGCCGGAGCAACCCCAGTCCTGCTCCCTGCCCTGCTGCCTCACTGCCTTTGCTTTTTTTCCTCCCCTGACAAATCTCCCAAAGGAGTGAGACATCAAAACCAGAGGGGATGCCGAACACTTGGTGCTCCAGGATAAGGAACAACTTCTGGCAGCTCCATCGAGCTGGTCCTCACCTACAAGTTGAGGCTGTGGGCTGTCAGTAGGGATGGGGAAAGTGCAGGGAACCCTCCTGGCTCTCAGCTTGTCCTGGGCACTCGTTGCCACTTGTAGATCCTGAGTGCATCTTCTCGGGGTCATGCATGGTCCCAAAGCCATCCCTGCTGCCTCAGCTGCATCAGTGAGACCACTGACAGGCACTGCAGCTGGATTAGAGGAAAAAACTGGAAATGAAGAAAGGAAAACAATAAGGTCAGGAGAATTTTGGAGAATTTTCTTCCATCATCCACCACTGCTGTTCCCAAGGAAGTGGGTGCCACTGGCCCTGTGCTGCAGCAGCCCACGAGGATCTGGCAGCAAAATTAGAAGAGAAAAGATCCACCCATCTCACAGTCACATCACTGCCCCATGCAAAGTGCTCCCCGAAACTCAGCTGGGCTTCCAGGTGACCCTGCCTGCCTCACCCTATGGAGCAAGCTGAAGCTGAAGGTGCCCTGTGCCCCTCCTCCTCCCCCCCGCTGGAAAGAGCAAAACCAAAATGAATCAAAAAAAGAAATCAAAATCAATATTCCAAAGTCAAATAGTAAAAATCCCATTATGGACACAGAGGTCACCTGGAGAAAAACGCAATTGGAGGTGACAGCCCTGCTCCTGGATCCCAGGTGGGCAGACCTCATTCCCAAGGCACAGTGCCACCTGCCCACCTTACAGCAGCAGTTTGTGCACAGACAATGAGCACAGAGACCTGGGAGGATGGAGAGAAGGACCCCGTGATGTCTGTGAGGTGAGGAGCATGCTGTCCCATCCCCAGAGCAGGGCTGGCTGACCCCACGCTGTCTCCATCAGGCTACAAATCGCAGCCTGCGCACCTTCCAGAAGGCATTGCCAATGTGGGGCACGTAGCCCTGATAATGATGCAAACTTCAAACCATTATTTCTCAGCCCAGAGCGCTTCTCTTTGTCAAGCCAGCACCGAGGGGTTATTTAGTGCCGTTTTCCCTCCTCCTTTTCTTTTTCTTGTTTCTTTTATTCTTAGACTTGACCTCTTATTCTGGCTGGGAATTTATGTTGGGTTCTTTTTATTATTGTTTATTCTCTCTCTGTCTCTCTATTTTTTTTTCTTTTCTTGTTGTTTTTTTTTTTTCTTGTTTTTTTTTTTTTTTTTTTCCCACCATATTAGCAACAGAGAGAGAAACATCCCATGAAGTCTGTTTGCCAACAAAGCTTTCTTTAGCAGACAGACAATGGAAAAGCAGAAGAGAATGCTCTGGGCTGGATGTGGCATTTCCAGCACTGCAGTGGCTGCTCTCTGCCCCCTGCAGCTGTCCAGGGCTGACCTTCAGCTCTGTGAATAGCTGATGTCCTCGCCCAAGGTGTGTCTGCATGCCCTGCTGCTGGGGCTGGAGCATCTCAGCTGTGCAGTGGCCCCATCCCAGCACTCACCTCTCCTGTCATTGCTACCAGTTTTATTCCTTTCAGTCCTTGTTGATCCAGCCTGCCCAGGGAATCATTCAACTCCAAATCCTTCGGGGTTTATTTAGCTCCATTTCTGATAAATCTGGTTGCAGGTGGTGGCTGGATGGCAGAGTTCTTGCTGCATGTGAGTGGGTCTAAGCTGCAATGAGCCCTTAGGGAAGCAGCTGGGCTTGCTGCCCCCAAGCCCAGGGATAAGCAATGGGCAGGAACAGCCCCTTCCCCATAAGCCAGAGGGGTTTGGGGTGGAGGAAGAGGAAGCAAAGCTAAAAACATCATGACTTTATCAACTTCACCTTCAGCAGGAGTCAGTGCTCCTCGCTCCCCTTCAGCAAAGATGCAGCAGAAATGGAAAAGATCCAAAGGAGTGCAACAAAATAGTATCAATAATCCATGAGAAGAGATTAAAAAGACTTAGGGCTGTTTAGTTTGAGAGGGGATGGGAGAGAGGGGAAAATAAGGAGGGCATGGCAGAGGCATACAAAGCAATGAGTGGAGATGCCTGGGAGCACGGACTGCCCTTGCAGTGCCAGGATGGGAGGCACTGGTGTGGTTGGAGGACAACACCTTGTGAAGTGACAGCGGGAGCTCCAGCTGCAAATAAAGGAAATCAGATTAGAAACCCAGGAGAAGTGGCTCCAGAAACATCCCTGCTGCATGGGGACAGCGTGGGGACAACACAGTGCAGGGAGGGTGGCACAGGTGGGAGGAGGGAGCTGAGAGGTTTGGAGGGTTTTGCTCTCTGAGGCCAAAGAAAAGGATTATACAGGAGCTTGTCAGGAGGCCAATGACATTTATAAAGTATTAATCCCTGCAGTGTGTGCTTGATAGCTGCTCCACGCTGGCTCCTGCCTCTCCCCACTCAGCAGTGCAGCCAATGCGCTCCAGGGACTCGCTGGGTGATTTTCCTAGGAGGAATCCCACCCCTGTCCTATGCCACCCTGCTTTAATGCTCTGCTCCCCTCCTACCCCAGGGCCCCCAGACC